ACATGCATAGGCTTGCTTTGCTGTAGTTTGTGCAATAGTGTGAGAAATATAGATTCCACATGATCTGCCTCGGAATCAGCTTTAGCGGACGTCTCGAACAACGCCATGTTATTGTGGTCAGCAAAAATCTGAACACGAATCACTTGAATGAATCACTAAAACATCCATACTGGCATTTCAGTCATTCTTGAAAGACAGTAATTGTGTAATGCAAGTAGCATGAGCAGCTTTCCGTCATTTTACAATTTGAAAGGCAGTTATAAAGATGACTGGCTGGAACTATTAATCTTACAATTAGAAAGTAGCTAAAACGATAAATGGTTGTCTGTGACCTACTTGAGCAGCGTCAGTGTCTACTCGTTGAGGCTTCGTCGACTTTAAGTCGCATTTGTTGCCTATCAAAATTCGAGGAACATCAGATTCGGCGGTTAAACCATTTTTCTCGCATTCATTGATCCAGGAGCGCAAAGAAGCAAAAGAAGATGGACTGAAATGAACTTTAAATCTCAAATGAACCCGGATGAACTCTAATATTCAACTTCTACTTTTGATAAGACTAAGGTTCAGCTCTAGACTTGCGCTCATAATCATATGAGAGGTTTTAGTGCAGACGTTTTAGCTAAATGAATTATGATTAAGAAAAAAGCAGTGCTCTCGAATGTCTATAGGTGAACTAAGATGAGACACCCTTAGGCCTAGGTAGCATATCAACATATATTTGACAATGCAGGTGATGCGAAAAACGTTTCGAAACACTGCAAAAGAGGATCAGGCAGATGCGCTGGAAAATAAAGTATGAACAAAAGTTTTAGGGAGAATTTACCTCGTTACATCGTAAACGAACACGACTGCATTAACATTTCGATAATAATGCGCCACAATGGAATGTCTATACCTCTCTTGTCCAGCGGTATCCCATAATTGTACCTGAACAAGACCGTACTGCATTTTCAACTATTCTAAACGAGGAACAGAAATAACCTTCAACAATTCCCTCTCTATAACGCAACTTCGTTCTCGAAAATCTACTCCTATTGTCGCTTCAGTATGTTCCGGAAACCTACCACAGCAGAATCGGAAGGAAAGACACGTTTTACCTACTCCCGCATCCCCAACAATAATGACCTTAAAAATTGCAGAATCAAGATTAAAGGACAAGAATAGCAAAAAAGGTAGTACCTTAAACGTTCGTTTAGCAGTGTAGCTCTTCGATGATGTTGGCGCTAAAGGTAATTTGTGAGTTTTCTTGTGATGAGTGGACGTTCCAGTTGCAATTTGATCGGAGGGTGGCGACTGCTAAGATTATAGAGTCAAGGAAGACAGGAATTGGAACTTGCTAGCATAAAATTGAAATAAAAAGAGCATGTTTATGTCGTCGGAGCATTTATAGCATTCGCCAAAACTCTTATGTAAGAGACATAAGTGAAAAAGGATCAAAGCGGAGGACCGAAACAAGGATGCACCTTCTCAGCAGGCGTTATTGCGAATGACTCTTGAACAGTGCTTGGTCTAGCTTCACCGGAATTTTCTACCTTAGGAAGTTCGGCTCGAGCATCTACAGTTGGATATGGAACAGCAACCTGAATTGGAAACACTGAAAAATAATTTTAAAAAAGTTAACTCTACAATGTACAGACCGTATGTTCCTGCACAGCAGGAGGAGCAGGTGCATGAACAAGTGGTTTTGAAACGAAATCCGGCAAGGGTCGAGGAGGGTCGATCACAGTTGCGAACGTGCTAAATTGTGGGGGAGGAATAGTCGGTACGCCAGTGTATGACGTGCCGCTCATCTAAAATTTTGAAACTATTTTAGAAGCACTGATAGACTGCTCTTCAATGAAAGCTTGAAATATAATTCGAGCGTGATAACGGCATATGTCGTTCGAACAACTAAAGAGATCCTATATTTATCAGACAAACAAACAACAAGAGCTTTTCTATCATACATACAAAGAGAGTTTCATTGTTATGTACAACAACTACACGTAAAAACGCTGCTTTATGATTGTATTTGGCTCCCATCATTTCATTGAGTAGATCACAAAACAATTGTCAACTGAGCCATGCATGAAGTGAAATCAGAGGAAAGGATTCCTTCGCTGACTATTTTGCGGAAATATCTTCCCTTGTCGCTCCAACGAGTAATATGCCAGTCGAAGGTGGTTCGGTTTAAGAGGTTCACCTGACTCTCGCATTTTTTCCTGAATATCCAGTGCCTCTTCCACCAACTCACATGCAAATACCTACAATGAATTCTATAAAATACTCAGAAACATTAAAATTGAGAAAGGTTTACCTTAGCAAGCCCAGCAACGGCAATAACAACGTTCTGACCTACATTTACACCCGTATATTGGTGAATAAGACGACGAATAGTTGACTTCGGGAATGAAGATCTAAACAAATTAGGCTCAGAGAAGATTATATTCTTGTGTAGAAAGAAGCGTCTATAGAAGTGAAAAAACCAAGTGCCTTGTGTTTGTAGCATATGGTGAAACTCGACTAAGCTCACCCTCGCCTTATTAATGTCTTCTTTTTCTACTAAAAGTATTTACAGGATGGTTATAAGGCGTGGCTTTCCTTACGCTCTTTCGAACAATGGCATTTAATTGCGCGCTTCCCTGCCAGGAGCAAAGAGGGTATGCGCGATGAGCGCCTTATCAAAAAGAACTCCTTGAACGATCCAAATCGAATGAACTAAGATGCTGAAGCCGAGCCCAGTCAAAGCATAGACAAACACGTTCTTCACGAATCAAATGTTACTGTATTTTAGCAAAATTCTTTCTCTTATAAGAAGTTGTAATCTTCCCTTTTATTCATCACTCACGCGAAATTCGAGATTATGTTAACTGGCTTAGCTCACATGAAAGCATGATTAAATTTTATCAAAAAAAGCTTGATTTGCAGTACCAGCTTTTCCTATAAGCATCGGCAAAAAAGGTGGAGGTTTCTGTTGCTGGTAAAAGATCTGCATTCGTGTAAAATCGCCTTATAAGTTGTATTCCTTTTCGTTCCCTTACTTGTCCTCAATGTTGGTTTACTTTTAAAAAAAGTTCAGAGGACTATCATGCTTTTGGCTGTTCTGCCGCCAGTGAGCAATTGTCAATAACAATTAACACACATCTGCCCTACTCTTC